GGGGGGAGCTTTTTAGTAAAACATGATGACAGTAGGGTTACTGTCCTGTTCTTCACTAATTATATAAAAGGATAACTTTTAAAAATCTGTTTTATGTCCTCTCGACGAATGGACCAAAGTGATAGTGATAGTAAAATATTTCATATGTGGTATGTCTATCCACTTTGTGTTTTTATTTTGTTTCCTCTGTATTCCTTCTTTTAAAAAGTTTTTTAAATTTTAAAAAAAATTCGTTTATCTCTTACGGGGTTTTTTGGTGTGTAACGTAACGAGCAGGAGACAGCTTTCTTTGCGTTTGTCTTTAAGTTTCCCATGACGTCAGCTTTGTGTGCACAGTAGGGTGGGGAGATACGCCACATCAACAAGAAAGATATCGCTTACTGTACAGTATGGTATTTCGAACTCATCTAGGTGAGTTCCGCCCTCGCCCTCTTTTTGTCTGTTAGTTTCTCTGTCTGTTCGTCTATTACTATTACTCTCTTTCTCAGCTCTGAATAATCTAGGTCTCAAGAAGACAAATCTACCAGTAGGCTACATAATATATTATACCGTTTTCGTTATTCGTTTATTACTTTTTAATTTGGGGTTTGTCTTTATCCTATGCTATGTGTGTTTTTTTTTTTATTCAACTCAAGACGAGCTCAGCCATGATGAAGATGGTACATAAATTATACACTTTGACCTGTCTGTCAGCATTTCAAGATGAAGTGGCTGGATGAGGGCGCCTCTGGTAGTTCCTACTTCTACTTTATGTTCCCTCTGTTGTTTCTGTCTGTCTCACTTTTTCCCAGCAATAAATAACCATTATTGTGTCAGTGAGCTTCTCTTCACTTAAACAAGCGAATGGGGAACATTTTAAATAAAGTAGGCCTGAAAGAATAGATCTACATCTTTTTTAAATCCTGTTAAGCTGAAATGTTAAATCATTTGTTAATCGGGCCTGAAACATCCAGCCTTCCCGGATACGGGCTAAAAATCTCGGAGGTCCTGTGTGCAAGTAGTTGCACACGCTATAGATCCCTTGGTGGTCCTAAAATAATAATTTTTTTAAATAAATGGTAATAAGAATAAAAGAGTAGGCTTCGGATTCACCTACCCAAAATTCAAAATTAATTCCTACCAAAAAGTAAAGTACCCTAGTACTTCCAAAATCGGAAAGCGGCTGCCTGAAGGCAAAGGCCCAACGAAGTAGGAAAAACTGTCACATACATTAAAAAAAGAAACCCAGTTACACTGCAGGTTGAAGAGGTAGTAGTCAACTACCCGTGGTATCTCGTTAGTAGGGAAACGCGAAGAAGAAGAAGAAGAAGAAGAAAGAGAAGAAGAAGAAGAAGAAGAAGAAGAAGAAGAAGAAGAAGAAGAAGAAGAAGAAGAAGAAAAAGAAAAAGAAGAAGAAGCAGAGGAAGAAGAAGGACAACAACAACTATAGAGGCCATAGTTTTGCTCAGTCTAATGTGGAATAACAAGCGGGGGGGATACTTTAAAATCAATGCCTTTACCACGGGACATAATCAATATATTTTAGTCAAATCTTTCTGTAAGAAGAGTTATTTTCCTTAACATAATATTATATTATACCCAACTAGTGATGCTACTGGAATTATTAATTAATTAACTGAAGCGGCTTTTTGAGTCATTTTGACCTATGTGCAATGTTCAGGCCCCGCACACATTAGTTAGCCTTCATCGTACGCCAGACTGTAACTGTAAGTAGGATTATGCGATTGTGCGGCCGCGTTTTTTCGCGTAATTCTGCAACATTTGTATGATTTTGGATTCTCCGCGTTTTTTCCTTTTTTTTCACAAAACAAATAATTAACGCCTCGCCATGTGACTAAAGGGACGTAATCATCGTAATAAGTCTCATTTAAGGGAAACGTTGGTTATTTCCCCTGTTAGAAAATCTTGGTTATGGGTTGTGATTTTCTTCCTTCAGCATGCTCAATTTTTCAATCCATCAAAAGTTGTTCTCATGTCTGCTGATGTTTCATGCTTGACAGGTGTGCCTGGTTTTAGTAATGTGCCAGCATCAGAGGTCCAGATGTCCTTTTTTTTTTTTTCTCAACATTTTTCTTTCCTCTATAGATCTAGATATCTACAGCTGAAAGTTACAGAGATTATATTTTTTGGTTGTTGTTTTTTTTACAGATGTATATGACCTGGCAATGATTAACAACAAGACTCAGCTACAAGAGCATATAAGCCAACTAAATGCGAGCTGCGAAAAATATGACATGAAGATCAGTATAAGCAAGACCGAAGTCATGACAATTAGCAGGAGACCAGGTAAAGTGGATATCAACATCAATGGATCCCAACTAAAACAAAGCAGAGAATTCAAATACTGGGGCAGCATTTTCACAGAAAATGGAAAATTAGATCGAGAGATAGAGACTAGATGCCAGAGAGCCAACGCAGTCAGCTACCAACTGGGCCCTCTCCTGAAACATCCCAATATCCCCATGAGCACCAAGGCGAAGCTCATCAACGCCATTTTCCTTCCAACGCTCACATATCAGTGCCAGACATGGACTCTAACAAAAGCCCTAGAGAGGAAACTGGTCACATGCGAGATATTATGCTTAAGAAGAGCAGTCAACAAAACAAGAAGAGACAAAATTAAAAATGAAGTCATAAGGGACACCGTGGGAGCAACACCAGTCCTACCACACATTGAAAAACAAAAGGTCAAGTGGTTCGGACACCTCACGCGGATGCCCTCAAACCATCCAGCTCTGAGAGCATACAACATTAAATATTCTGGATGGAGAGCCAGAGGAAGACCAAGGCGACGATGGAGTGAATCTGTGGCAGACACCCTTAAAGATCATGGGATGTCCCTCCTACAGGCCACACGACTTGCTGCAGACAGACACCTGTGTCTCCCCGCGACACCCCAGGGTACAAGCGGAAGAAAAAAGTAAAGTAAGTAAGTAAAGTATATTGTTTTCTTTTCCAAATACACAACAAATTACTTATACTGATACGTTCTGTTTTCAATTTTTCGGTACATAAAACATGAAGATCATGAAAATTCGTGTTGAAAAAGTGCAAAACATGTCGTGATTGGTGTTACGGTAACTTGCATAATTTTGCTTTTTTGTGCATAATTTGGCCTTCTAAATTTGCATAATTCTATAGGGACAGAAGTATGCAAATGAGGCATTTTCACCTTGCCTCACTTCTTATTTTTAATAGACTTTTACCACACTTGCAATACAATAAGGTTATATAAGTGCCGAAGAACAGATTACGTGTTACAAGAGAGTAACATACACCCAAAAAAAGGGGAGATAATGACGACAGAAGTTTGATAGTAAAGAAGGAGCAAACCACACCAGAGCACCCGCCAACCACCCAAGTTCATCGCTAAGGGACGTCATACTTCGCAGTCATGCGACAAGTGGAAATTGTATTTTAGACCTCTAAGGCTTAGTATTTAGTGGCACAATTCAACAATCGGGCAAGACAGAAAACCTCTAGCCAATCACAGTGCAGTCAACTTAAAATGGTACTAGAAATGTAAAATAATAGTACAGCTAGAAGTTTTTAAGCCAGCAGTACAAAATACCCCATCGGCTCACCCAGCCAGGAGAGTGAGGGCAACAGACTTTTTGGGGTCGTCGTAGAACTGTGTCAAGTGACCGGAACGGAAAATTTTCACCATCGCATTACTGTGGCAAGTGACCGCAAAGTATTAATTGGCATGATTCAGATCATTCAGGAGACAGGCTGCTTATTGATCCTGTGTGCCAAGGCCACCCAAATTGAGGAGAGGAGTACAAAGTCCCAGGAGATAGACAGAGATACTTCATTAAAAAAACAACAACTTCCCCTTCACTTCCATGAATTGAACTCATGTCTTAAGTGTAAAACCATTAGTTTTAGTAAGTGTTTTACAGCACTTGCAACACATAAAGGTCATATAAGTGCCAAAGATTAGAGGTGTAAATGTCACAAGAGAGTAACAAACACAAAAAAGAAGGAAAAGAGATAAGGACGATGGATGTTTGATAGGAGAGAAGAAGCACACCACACTAGTGCATCCGCCAACCACCCACTCTAAAGTGTATAACAGCAAATGGCCTGACCAATTTACCAATACTAGACACCAGTGACATCAACTTGAGACAAACTAACAGAAGACAAACAGCAACACGCCCATTTCAGTTGCATGATCTCCCCTCAACATCTCACGTTAAAAGAAGACAGACAACATGAAAGTAAGTAAGTAACAGATGATATACTCAAGTACAAGAAGTAAGTAGAAAAACATGGCTTCCCCTTCAAACATTTGGTCGCTTTTAAGGACAAGCGGGCTAACCTATCATATTTTAGGGGGTTTCCAGAAATCTTGACCTACACCAAAAGTGGGCATTGCCCTCTATAGGAGAAGTTTAGTTTTATTGATGTGTATATTTGTTTGGTTATAGAGAAAACTCTTAGTCATTTAAAGAAACTGAACAAGGGTCCAAAAACTTTACCTTCGATTTTCTCACAACAGCATTTTTCGGGATAGCCCCCTTGTGCTTAAAAGCGACCATTTGTCCAATAGCAAAAGCTGGAGCTCGTCTTTACTACAAATACACCATTAAGTTATTACCATCAAGTTCTCCATTCTTGGTTTCCACTGATCTAAACCAAAGTTTTCATGCCATCAGTAATTGAGTAATAAACGAAAAAACACAAAACTACGATACAGGTTATAGATTTTGTACTTTATTGACTTGAATGTTAATAAATGTTTATTCAATAAGGCCAAAATTCATTGCTGTATTTGATAACTTTAAAAAGCGTAGAAAATGGAATGTCAGTGCATGGAATGGCTACAGTCAAACATAACTTTTGACCTTTTTTTGATAGCTTTAAAGCACTATAATAGAAACATTTGAGTCAATAAAATAAAACAGAGAGATTAATATGAATTTATGTCTGTATATTTACAAATGTCTTCTTAACAAGAAAGGAAGCTTTTTGATGGAAATGGTATATTTACAATCAATTTATACAGTTTTTTAAACGGTTGTCTTCAAAACAAGACCTAATGGGTACTCTTTGGACCAAAAAATAAATCTAAATAAAAGGAACTGCACTACCTATTACTAAATCTTAGGTTAAAGGGATAAAAAGCAAACCATCATCTTGTATCTAGTTTGATAATAACATTACCGATTTCCCAGAAAAATTTTTTCGAGACATTCCAAATTATGCATTTTGAATCATATTACAAGTCTAAAAAACTTCCATTCAACTATCTTTAGTTTAAACCAGATAACAATTGCACGTATTGCAATAGATCTGAACCCAAATAAATCATATTCACAGATCAAACTTCAATCCAGCAGCTTGGTCTAGGGAATGAACCTTTAAAAAACCTCACAGAACAATTCCACTCTTAAAAAATATAAAGATTCAAACACACATTTTATGTCCATCTGCTAGTATTCCTCATAAGTCTGGGAAAATCCAAACCTTACACTAAATCAAAATACTGTAAATGGAATGTTCCTGTTACATTAATGTCAAGGATCAGATTATTAATATCTAAATCAAATTTATAGGTAAGCATTGTATTTGACAAAAGGGTATGAGAAAAATCATTGACAGCCCAATCTAGCAAACTTCAAAACTATCAAATTACAAAAAAAGAATAATAATAAATAAGTCAATAAAAAAATATTTTAAAAGATCAAAATAAAAAGTCACCACAAATACTGTAGAGGAAAGCCTGATGATAAGGATAGAAAAGAAAAAAAAGGTAAAAACAAAATACTCTAACAATACATTAAAATAAAAAATCTTTTATAAAAAAGCGTAGGCCAAAGAAAAAGAATGTTACAGTAAGTTAATTCAACCTTTCAATCAAACTGTATTCAACAATTTTTTTTACAACATTCTGAAATTCCTTCATATTCATTGACCTATCTCAGCAATCAAAAATGGCTTCACCAAATAAAGATTACGTTATATTCATCAGATCACCCTTGTCAACATGCATGCACGCACCACTATAACATCTTCCAAGAAAGGTCACAACTTTTCCCTCTATGTCAACCACCACTCAGCTTTTACTAACTATCACACAGGTACAAACAGAACACTCCCAACTTAACAAAAATTTGTACAGCATCATACCACACCAGATTCTTTCATTATTCCGTTCATTTCTTCACAACCTCTGACAATCACACATTCCAGTTGACACAAATCTAGAATCTAGGATTAGGTTTGACAGCATAAGCGGGTCCCCTGTTGGCTCTCTCCTCCTCCTCCTTGATCCTCAGGTGGTCGACACTCAAACACATGGCGGAGAAAATGGAGAAAAATCCAGACAGCACAGCACATCCAAAAGACCAGGACAGGAAGTTCGAGTCAGGGTTTGGAAGCCATTGTCGGTCGATGTCAGCCTTTATTCCAAATATGGTCACCGATATGGAAATGAAGGCAGCTGCGAGAAAGAAAAACAAAAATGCACTACAATTGAAACAAAAAAATATATTTGAAAATTGAGTCACAACATGGTGGAATCAGGCGTTCCTCAATTAAGTTATTAGCATCACCCTTAGCTTTTTAATTTGTCTTGCTTCTAATTTAAAAATGCCCATCTATCTTGAAAATATTTGCAATGCATCTTAAGAGGTGGAGGTTTCTTTGTGTTAAAGACACAATTAGTAAGAAAATGGCCGCAACAATGGTGACTTCCAAAGCTCCAGTGTCCTTGGAAACTGCAAATTTACCTTTTCTGTGCCTTTGAGAACTTATCAGTGGTGCTCTCTAAACACTTGCATAGAGTCTTAAGACAATTTTTTAGCTTACATTTTAAAAACTATAATAACATTAACAAAGAGGATATGCTGTACTGTTAACTTTCTGTCACCATCCACTGAGCTGATTGTAGGTTACAAGACATCTGCATTATGATAGCTATCTGAAACATTACTGCAGTACAGGACAACAGTGACCATGCTGGAAAAAAGTGAAAGACTCAAAACACAGAGCAGCACAGACAATCACCTGGGTTTATCTTTTATGAAAAGTCACATTCACACCACAGATCATTTGTCATTGCAATTTTAATACCTTTTTCAACTGTAAGACTATAAAAGGCAATGCCTCCGAATTTACCATTCATCTCTGCAGGCACAGAGTCAAATGAAACCAAAGCTTTCCATAACAAACTAAATTGAGAACACTCTGTTGAGAATTCAAACCAGGGCCATCCACTCTTTAATCCACCAGTATGATACCAACTGACTAAATAAGTATGCTCATACCACAGAGAAGATGACCAAGAGACAATGGAACAGAGAAGCTGGATTTCTTGTCTTAAGGGCTGAGCCCAGTTCTCTTATAAATAAATTTAAAATTGATGTACAGTCCCCAAACTTTTTCTTTTCAGATTAGATCTACTCTCCCATTACAACAAGGCACAACATCGTACCAGCACCTGCTAATCAATTGGTCAAAAACAACCAACATGAAACAGTTTGAACTTCAAACTGACAGAGCTCCAAATGTTCTCGCTCCTTCCTAAAATTTTCCCACTAAGCCAGGTGCTCTGTCTATGGGAAAATAGTGTTCCGCTTTAGGAAAAAAAACAACCATTTTGTATCGAGTAAAAAGCAACCCCCCCCCCCCCCACAAATAAAGAAGCACAAGTGTCCACTCACATGCAAGCCACATCATGACCATGCTGACCATGACATATTTCTTCTCCTTCTCTTTGGGACAGCAACGCACGTAGTACATTATGTTCATGACCACAGTCAGCATGTGCAGAATCAAGCCTAGAGACATCATGATCTGGACAGCCAACAGCCATTCTGGGGAATACAAGATATCATGATATAAAAGAAAAATCCACAACTTTTTACAAGCTACTCTGTTAAAAACATGGTGAACCTTGAGGCCTCTATTACAATATAATGACAACATGTAAGACATTCACTTTACTAGCTACGAAACTTTTCTCCTTACCTTTCCTATTGAACATTTATCATCCTTTCATCTCTGCTCCACTTTTTTTTGGTGCTTTTTACTCCCTAGTAACACCTCTTATCTTCGGCACGTATTCCTAATTGAGTTGCGAGTGCTGTAAAACTTACTATTTTTACTAAAACACAAGTAGCCACCTTAGACAATTTCCACTGTATTCAACCTAAGATTTTGGTGATATATAATTATATTTGAGAAAGATAATACAATACTAGCCGATTACAACAAATTAGTTTCATCTTTCAAATTCAACAAATTCAAATAACTCCAAATTACACTGTGCCCACCAAACAATTTGAACAATGTAAACAAATACTGAAATAGGGGCATCCTAGTCATTTGTTTTGTTTGAGTAGAAAAGAGAAGCACATCAAACACAACAATGGTCATTTAGTACTCTAGGAAAAAGTTGACAGACAGAAACAACAGACGCAGAGTAAAGAAATGGGAACCTACTGGTGGCACCCTCAAAGTGAAACTGTCAGATATATAGAGATATGATATAACATATAATCTATATTATCAAAATGTTGCTGCTATGATGACGCTGACCCCAGGTGCCCCAGAGGAAATGGTAGTTCAGAATGAACATACCAGGAACAGCAGTAAGCTGCATATATGATATTGAATAATTTATATACACATATAATATGAGATTGTAAGATCAGGGGTGTGGCTGAACAAGGCAGTAAGAACGGGCCAAGCAGTAGCAAGGCTGCAGAAAGTGAAGACGAAAGCAGATGACAGAACAAGGTTAGAGAGCAGGAAAGGAGGTGAAAGGAGACAATTTTAAGAAGAAAAGTTTCCGGGGCAATCAGTTTTTTTAAAAACCCAGGACCACTGACTGACTCTTTTTTAGAGGAGGCAAACACCGTAACCTCTAGACCACGAGAGCCCCCCCCCCCCTTTCCCCTGCTTTTCATTATAATTGTGACAAGATTAAGAAGTCTAGAAGAAAAGTAAACCAGTGTCAGTAATGATGTTGAGTGTGGGACGTGAACCACCAAAGGTGTGGAACAAGTAGGCCTACAAGGAAAGGACAGACACTTGACAAGCATTGTGGTGCTCAAAACGATCAAAAAATTATAATAACTGGTCTAACTTTTAAAACATTCCAAATAGGCTCTGGTGAGAAAACCTCAGTCAAGACCCGTTATTCTCACCCCCATCCCCTGACCTCTTGCAGGCCGATAAAATCCCCAAGGCCTTCGGAGGCTTACCGCATGTGGTTGGGAAATGACTCATGAGTGCTTGGCGCTTGTAAAGGCCAATTAGGGCCTACTGGTTACCGTTGCCATAGATATTCTTAATTTTAAAAAAATATCAAATAACCTTCTTAAAATTAGGCTATAATTGTGAGGACTGGTGACTGGTAGGCCTGGGTATATCAGATTATGTGATCATGCGTTCTGCTCTTGACATTTCGTTCTTGCATAAACAATAGATTTAGTTTGGATCAAGAAATCTAGATCTATCACTAGATCTAGTGTAACTCGGTTCTTTGGGGTTTTTTTGGGTGTTTTTTTTCCACTGTTGTTTGCTGTTAATGGTGCATGGCCTTCACCCAGCACATTAAATAAACTAAACCTGAGACTTATCTCTACAAGTTATTCTCTGTGCTGTTTTGTGTGTTTGTGCTCTATAGGCCTACTGTAGCAGCACACCTGAGCCTGAGGGGGTGAAAATAGCCATAGCGAGACACACGCTATTCTCTAACTACTTCCTTCCAAATAATTTTTATTTTTATTTTCTAACCCCCAAAAAGCTGTGCAGTCCTTCTTACTGATATATTCATGACTGATACTAGATCTAGATTCTAGATATATAATCTAGAATCTAGCACAACATTTCAGTGGAGTATCACCACTTCCGTGTTTGAACTGCTGCTTGATTCAAAAGTGAAACGAAAGTGAAAATAGGTCAGCTCAGGTGTGCCAAAGACAACAAATCAAGCCAATTTGAGCAAAATCTGTGACCAGGAAACTAAATCTCAGACAGTTGTTAATGAGAAAAGTATGAAGAAAAGCTTACTTGGATTGAGCCAGTTCCACACGGGCCTGTACTCAAAGTGGAAGATCCACCAGCAACCGTTGTATTGCTTTCCCAGGTAATCTTTGTAGTAGGTCCAGTTGTCAAAACATACTTCCCACAGACCCATTCTCACAAATACCCTTGTCATTCGTTTGTGAGGGAACCTCTCGAGCCAGTGTGGTGTCGCAAACGCGACAACCATGCATATGAAGGCACATATTGTAAATGTAAGGGCAGCAGTCGCAATGACCCGCTTCGCCCGTTGCATCGCCATCTTGACTCTTGAGTTGCTTACCTTCAGCCCGGAAGTGCCGCTCTAAACTTGATAACGAGGCTACTAGGCCTAGGCCCTATGGAGAATGGAGGGGGTTTTTCTCACCTGGGCGAGTCCACCTTCACAGGTATCAACTCAGGGTGGTTTGACATTTGTTTGCTTAAGTTTTGGGACAAACATATCCCCAAAAAAAGAAAAACTGCTTAGATAATGAATCCCCTGCAGAACTTTATTTCGATGCTTTAAAACACGATTGTTACTGAGACACTTTTCGCTGCTTGAAAAGTTTAGAAGCATAACCTTCGACCTTTCTCACCTGTGTTTCATTTTGGGCCATCTAGGTCAAAGCCATCTCGCAAATTACCGAAATAACACTCAGTTTCAAACAAAATGGCGACGAAAGCGTTTTTGAGGACTGCTGTGGTTCTCTCAGTCTCAGCTTTTGTGCTGATGTTTATTGCTTTTGCCTCGCCGTACTGGTACAAATCATGGACCCGCGTCCACAGTCCTTTTGCTAACATTGGTCTGTGGCACGTTTGTCTCAGCGGGTTTATTATGCCGATGGATCCTGTGATGAAATCTTATGTTGGCTGCTGGTGGATTCACTCCACGGAGTTCGATGCCATCAAAAACGATCTGCAGCCAGGTTAGTGTATATCAAAGAATCTGTAGTTGTTGACTATTTTGTAGTTTCTTCGTTCCAATGATGTGTAATCATACGGTGGATTGATTTATAGGACTAATCTGTTTTGATAATGACTTCTTGTTTATTGGCTGGAACCCCATCTTAGTAACCTTTTGCCTAATGATTTCGGCACTTCCGTGTTTTGAATGTGTCTTGTGTTGCCAGAGCCAGCCCTTACTTGTTTGATATAAAAAAGGCACTGCGTTGGCGTTGTCTAGATCTAGAATCTGTTAACTTCAAAAATACTCTTGGAGATGCACCAGCTACTTAGAGTCAGTTCAGTCAACAATAGTCAATGACATTTGAAAGAAAACCAACATTTTCGTTGCCATCATATGGCATGGTGAGAATAGCCTAGATCTATGGCATGGCCCTCGATTTATGGCTCACTATTCTCACCCCGCCTCAGGTGTGCTAACATACAATAGGCCTAGTCTATAGCACAGACACACACAGAACAGCACAGAGAATAACTTATAAGTTGTACAGATGAGCAATTGCCAAAACGTGAGACTCTCTTGAGACTCAGTGGTGCGACAAATTTTTTCTTACCAATTTGACTCTCTTTTCAGTCACAGCTTGACATTTAGATCTAGATCTAGTGCTCATATTCCTAGAGTATCAGAGCAAGGAGACGTACGGTTTTGGAGATATGGTATTCAATTATTGGTTTGGCAGCTACTGTATTTCTTGTATGTAACAGTGATGACAAAAACAGATAAGCAGCAGCAAGGCAAATTATGAACTTTAAATTCCATTTGTTAAGTAATCAAAGACTTCGTACACTATGAACTCCATTCATAATGGTAATATTATGAATGACAAGCTTTGTAACAATGACGCAGTGCACAGAACATGTCATCATTGTTATGTACAAGAAAAGATACACATTGGACATTGTCATTAACAACACATCACAATAGTGGAAGGCTGTACAAATACAGTTATCAAAGCCTCAGTACCAGAAAAACACATGTGTAAAACAATTTTTAAACTAATATGAGGCAAAAGCACAAAATCAATTGAGCTGACTTGTACATAATAACAGTGATGACAAACATGACTTGTACATAACAATGATGACACAATGTACAGGAAAAGACAAAAAAGTCTTGCCTCCAGAGAGAAAAGCGCACTTTCAGAATAAAAAAACCCAGGAGAGGTTTCTTTTGCTTTGAAACAGATACCAGGTCATATCAAAGACAGTAGACAATCACAATTACGTTGCTAATTATGACAAAGAGTACTCGTACATAACAGTGATGACAAAACATACTGGGAAAAGATAAAATCATGCCTACAAAGAACAAATTTGTACTAAGAGATACACAGATCAATAAAGGCGTATTGTGTTTCTAAATGAATCTTGTATGTATGAAATATATGTTGAAAACTTATTGATATTAGCAATTATGAAAAATATTACTTGTACATAACAATGATGACACAATGTATTGGAAAAAGGCATATCATGCCAACAAAGAACAAATGTGTACTTTTGAGTTAGACAGATAAACAAGGACATGTTTGTCTATTTGTTTGAGTAAAAAGAGCACACATGACTTAAAAAATGTTTGCTCTTAGGACAATGTTATTTCTAGTACGTCGGTCAGTCTGACGACACCCCAAACGTCATCACTTAGCACAAAAGCTAAATCTATAACCACAGAAATGATCCATCTCTCGAAGTTTGTTCACACATCACACTCTTGTTCCAGGAATCCAATGTAAACACCACAATTTCACTAAAATATTCAATAGGGTAGCCTAAAAACACGCAAAACAATCCAGTACGTCACATTCAACGCAAGATTCTTGTGCGTAACCGGAGGGTGACGGCAATGACTACTTTCGTTTTTCTCTTTACCCTGTTGCTCCCGCTGTTCTGGGGAAGCGGGTAAGGGGAAGTCACTCAAGAAAACAATTATATCCGGGCACTGTTGATGATCCATTCAAAACAAAAGTAGGCTAAAATTCGGACTTCCGGTACGTCGCAAAGTGACGCCATTAACGGCGAATGTTAAACAGCCGACCGAAATCGTAGATCTAGGAACCCGATGTTCCTTTCGCGCATCGCGGCTTTTGAACTATTGAATAAACGACGAAAAGCAAAAAGATTTAACCAGCTGTGGTGATTCTACTGAAAAATAATGGTGTTTTCTTAAACACCTAGGCCGTGACGACACCACTGACGCACAAGTGATCCGAATTATTCGTTTATTTGCAAACAAATAAACCGATTTCTTGAGCAAGTGAACCTTTCTCGATCACAAATAGCATAGAATCAAAGCACAGGTTAAAAAAAAACACCCAAAAATACTAAATTTTTGACATTCTTGGAAGTTTGCATTGGTGTGCTCAAAATGACACTCCAGGAATCACTAAAAAACGAACATTTTTGGCACAAAATTTACAAATTCAAGATTATAAAGCTGACATAGTGTCTGAAACTGCTAATGCAGGTTCTACATCCTGTATTTGACATGTGTTCCAGTTTTGGAGGAATAAATACTAATGCATCACATTTTATGCACACTATTGTGAGATGTGTGTGTTTTCCCCCACGTTTTGGCAAGGGCTCAGATAAGTTTCAGGCTTAGTTTATTTAATGAAGTGGCTAGCCGTACTTAAGTACGGTTAGACTGAGAGTCTAGCCGTACTTAAGTACGGCTAGACTGCCAGTCTAGCCGTACTTAGATCTAGGTTTGGCCCTATCGACTCAAGCCTGTTAAGTACACAGGTCTCATAAGATCAAGATCTAGTAATTATTCAGGTTCAAATACATGCAAGTCAGTAAGGCACCTTTTGGTTTTGTCTAAAATACAAATACGTTAGGCATTGCCAACTAAAAATTTCATTTACAATTCAGCCATCAATATTAAGTACGGCTAGCTTGACAGTCTCGCCGTCCTTAAGTACGGCTAGCCTGGCTGTCTACCTGTACTTAGGTACGGCTAGACAAGAAGTCTAGCCGTACTTAGTCTAGCCGTACTTATCTTAGGCCCTATTAACATTAGAAAACAGGAGGTTTAAAATACATGCACTGTCATTAAGGCACCTGGTTTCGTCTCAAATACAAATACTTTAGGTACTGCACACTAAAAATGTAGGCCTATTTTTGGTAAATGGTCAGTCTAGCCATCATATTAAGAGAATAAGTACGGCTAGGCTGCCAGTCTAGCCGTCATTAAGTACGGCTAGCCTCTTCCTTTATTTAATGGAAGGGGCTATTCTCACCCGGGGTGAGCATAAAAATACGATCGACCTCTCACCCCGGGTGAGACTTGCCACCGTAGGCTATTCTCACCGGTGTGAAACAAGACCTGTTTTTCCTAATTTCTGAATACTTTCTATCGGTGTGGATGATCAAATGGATAAAAGCAAAGAAAAAATTACGTTATAGCACAAAAGTAAGCAAATTTGATTGTGTACAAAGATGCTATGGCTATTTCACTTTTCGAATCGAGCCGAACTACGCGGGTCGCCATTTTGTTTTGCCCGGAAGTTCTCGCAAGATCTACTCCTCCCCTCGTCTCTGTCTCTTTTTTAATACTGTCTATCGGTGTGGACGGTCAAATTGTCGAAAACAAAATTTTAAAAAGATGTTAAAACACAAAAGTAAATTAATTTGGTCGTCTACAAAGATGCTACGGCTATTTCACTTTTCGAATCGAGCCGAACTGCGTGGATCGCCATTTTGTTTTGCCCGGAAGTTCTCGCGCTTCTCCTCTCTCTCTCTCTCTCCAGTGCCCACAGACAAAATTGTACGCTTTTAGTTTTAGGCTAACAGTAGTATTGGAATGTTTGTTCACGGCACAAAATTCTACAATTTTTCTATTATCACAAAGTAGAATTCTGTAGTTCAGGGTGAACACAAAATTGGTTGGCCTAGATCTAGGCTATAGCGGTGAATGCACACCGGGTGAGAATAGCCAAAAGACTGGCCTGAGCTATTCTCACCCGGGGTGAGAATAGAGGTGGCCTTATTTAATAGGCTGGGTGGAGGCCATTTCACACCGTGAACAGCAAACTGCAGTGAAAAAAAAACACCCTGATTTAGATTTCAAGATCTATGGTTTATGCAAGGACGAAATGTCAAGAGCAGAACGCAGCTGTACCAACAGGTCCTCACAATTATAAATCTAGATCTCGTAGCCTACTTTTAAGAACATTGAAGCTCGCCTCAATAATGCTCACATCGGGGTGGGGGTGAGAATAGAGGGTCATGAGCTATTCTCTCCAGGGGTGAGACTATAGGTGGCCTTTATCATGAGAACTTAGACTTAGACCTATTATAAAATTATAAAAAAGACTTGTTTATATGAAGTCAAAGTCTTCACAAGTGTTATAGTGATGTAACTTGTACTTGTAACCTCTCAGGTCTATTTTTGTGTCGCCTTTCGGTAGAGACGGGCGGGTAGCGCTTTTTCCTTCCCAAGCGAGAAGACCGAGAAACTGACATATTTCTCGCCGAGACCAGTCCCGAGAACGAGAAATACTGCCCGTCTCATGTCTCGGGCAATGCTTCTCGTCTCGTGACCAATTTCTCTTCTCGCCCCGCAGTTCGAGCCACTCGTTCAGCGAGAAGGTCGGCCGTGGCCGAGATTTCTCTTCTCGCCCCACAGAACGAGCAGCTCGTTAAGCGAGAAGACCGTCGTGGCGGGGATCTAAACTTAGATTAGAAACTAGGCTAGCCCTGTTGCACTGGCGCAGGCGGTGAAGGAAGGTAGGGAGACGACCTAGGCCTAGGCCCTGATCAACTCCCCACTCGCCTCGTCTCGCCACCCTCTCCCCTCCCTTTCAGTTTCACACACAGGACGGCACGGTGATGGGTGGCACTGTCTGCGTTGTCATTTCTCGCCTCTCACTCTCTCACTCTCGTTACCGTTACTTGTTATGTCAAGCCAACGGGCAGTATCACGTCTCGGTACTGAGCAGAAGTTTAGTGCCCGGGCAGTGACGGGAAGGCCGTTACTCGGGAGAAACGAGACTCGGCTCGTCTCGTGCCCGCCCCTACCTTTCGGACCTTTCCCGCGAGGTTCTCTGCTTTAAATGTCAGTGGATGGACATTTCAGTATTGTCAGTGGGTTGTTGGCGGGTGTTTTGTTGATGTGGTCTACTCTTTCTTTCCCATCTAACACCTAGCATCCTTATCTCTCCTTTTTTTTGTGTATGTTTTTGTTACTCTAGTCTTGTAACACCTCTAATCTTCAGCATTTGACTCATGCCTGCCTGTCTGTTCAAAGTCTGTCATTCGGATCCCATAATAAATTATATCCACCCATTCTCTTTAAAAAATTAAAGTAATTTCTTTTTGTTTACAGTAAATATCCTTTTGTATCAGTTTTATTTTGGGTTTCCATCTGGACCATTCATGACCACATGAGACTGGTTTGGCATTCAGTGACTAGGTGAACTGTTCGGAGGAATGGGATGCTCTGTTGGTCTACTACTTTTTTTCTTTTTTAATGTACACTAACATAATCCTGTCTTGTTGATGGCTCGTGATCATCAGTTTGTTCGATCACTGTAATTTACAACTCAATCACAAGGCTAAAATTGATGGCATTGCCATGTTAACGAATGAGTCAAACGTCTATGATTTTTTGTATTAAAACTTTTCGCACTAATTAAAATTGTTGGGTTTTTTATTATAATGTCATGCGCTTTTTTCTGTCCCCAGTATGGTTTCGATTCATCCAGGCATTCAGCATCTTTGCACTGATTGGAGACCTGATAGGTGCTGTGTTAACCATCCTGTACATCCCGGAGGAGATGCGGATGAAAGTGTACAAGAATAGGCCAAGGATGTTCTTCATCATCAGTGCCTTTCTGCTCGGAAGTGGTGAGACAATGAGATATTATCATTGTATATTACAATTAATGGAATATTTAAATACATGCCATATGCTGTTATTATCATTGTATTTGTCACTGTTTCATGATGTCAGCCACTCATGATATTTCTATTTTTCATTTTTACTTAAATTACTGTACTGGAAATGCCATTGAACATATAGCAGGTAGCAAAAGGTTAATACTATATTACGTATAATATTATAATTGACCTTCGGTTTTTCCCTGACTTCAGATGCAGGCGGCAAATTTCTGTGTCCCCAGATAACATTTTTTTCATTGAAGGGTAGATAAATGAACAAGCTTTAACCCCTTCTTGACAACTCCCGTATACCGTATGTCCAACATTGTGTGCCAAGATGCCGTCCTCTCGTACAATGTGCATCCTAAAATCAGCCGAATACAGCAATCGCGTGGAGCTTAATGTGTGCACCGTACTGGATTTGATATCTAATAAATGTACAACAATAGCTTTGAATGGAATTGTACCAGAAGAAAATTGGGTGCATTAAAAGTTGGAAAAACCAAATGTCACGAAGGGTAAAGATGATACCAATAACTCTGTATGCCCAAAAATTGACGAGCGCCTAATTCCTCCGCATCATGACACATATTTCTATTGTCCAGCCTTCTTGGTGTTCCTGATTGCCCTGGTGTTTGCCGAGATGACCAACGACTCCAGCTGGATGCCACGGCCGTGGATGAACTATCTGTCCTGGAGCTACGGCCTCTGTGTGCTCTCCGGATTCTTCTCTGCTTTTGCCGGCATGTGCGTCTTTGTCTTAGGACTTATATACAAGGTGAGTTGACAGTGTTGGGTATGTGATGCGCATTGAGAATTTTTTTTTAAATGGTAATACACGGCGTAAATGCTATTTATTATTATCATTATTATTATTTTTATTATTTATTATGTGATCAACCCTACACATCCAAGTCCAAGCTAATGCCTAAGCACCATCATCATCATCACCTCTATTACCCTGGACTAGGGTATAAGCAACCAATTAGTACTGCTTACTTTTCCCTATCTTGGGCTAACTTCTTGACATTTTCATTCCATGAGGCCTGCCTCTTGGTCTCTTACCTTGTGGATTCATTCTAACGCTGCCTGGCTTCCTGGGATGGGGGAGGGGGGGTTTCCAATCTATCACCACCGCCTTCTTCCCACTCTGACTTGGTTCTTGTCTTATTCTCCTGAACACTTTTTCTCTTTGGTAACCACGTCTGTCCTTCGGATCTTGAATAGCTTTCTTAGAACTTTTGTTGATTAAGACCTGGATTGTTTAAATGTAAGTCAGATGCGTTCCATGTCTCACATCCATACACTTGCCGTGTCAAATGCTGATTTTATAGACTTGCGTTGTGGGTGGTTGACGGGTGCTTTAGTGTGGTTTGCTTCTTCTTTCCTATGAAACATCTATCGTCCTTATCTCCCTTTCTTCTTTTTTATGTTTGTTACTCTCTTGTAGCACCTCTAATCTTCTGGCGCTCATATGACCTTATGCAGTTGCGAGCGCTGTAAAACCTCTACTAAAACTAAAAACACTTCCGTTGCAAGTTGTTGTTTTTGCAGTATAATGTGAAAAGTGTGTCATTTTATCAACCATACATGTTGACGGATACAGTTTTTGCATAATAGTGCTAAGATTATGTAATTTGATCCTCAATCTATATTTAGGGATTTGGGTTTTGTAGGACAAGATGAAGAATGTGTTTTTTGGAAACAAATCATGGATGGTTGGCAGGTGCTCTGATTTGGTTTGCTCCTTCTTTCCCATTGAACTTCTATTGTCCTTATCTCTCACTTTTGCTTTTCTCTGTATGTTACTCTTTAGTAACACCTTACATCTTCAACACTCACAGACCTTTTCAGTCATTTTTGCAACTGCTTTAAAACTCTTGGTAAAACTCAACATTTACTAATCTGCATTGGTTTTGGTAGGATAAGGAAGAGAACGGAGATCCCGGTGTGACTTCTGCCGCGGAGTTTGCCAGAAAACGTCGCGAGTTGGAAAAGCAAGACGAAGCCATGAGGTCCCAGCCAGGCATGATCACAGACATGCAACTCCACCAGCGCAATGTGCAGCCATACTATCAGTCGCAGTATCAGCAGGAGCCGGCCCTACAGGACAAGCCGGACAGGAAGGGGCCGCACTCCGTCGCTGGCTCGCAGAGCACACGCGATGGGGAGTCCTTTGTATAATGTATAAATGAGTTCGCCATGCCATAGTACAGTGAGGAGGACAATGTGATTTGGTTTTATCTTGTGAAGTTGTTTTCAGTCTGACGAGTAGACATATTTGGACGCAATTGTTTGGGGATGTTTTGTTTTTGTTTCATGACACATTCCATGTTACTACACTTCAGTTTGCTGGTATTCCAGAAATTTTCATCAGAAGTCTGAAAAGTTAATCCAATTCCAAGAGTCATGGTTTAAATTGTAGGAGGCAGTTTGTCCTGTATGTTTGTGTGAAATGAAAGAGACAGATTTACTGACGAACGTTTAAATGTATGTGTATGTGTGAATTGCCTGGAATTATTTTTGGTGACTGTAGTAACTCATTTATCTTACTTTGTTGATGTTCGTGTTCTAAACAAAAGATTTCTAAATTTTTGTCGCACTATCTTGGAACCAAGCTGCAAAAAACTTAAAATGGGCAGGTTTTATTTGGTGTTATAATATTTATTTTAAAAATGTCAAGAGAATCTGTTAATTGTTGAATTTTAAAGTTTCAATATTTGGGTTTTAAAAAAAAATAGTTTCATTGTAATTACTGACAATGTTTGAAAGATTTATTTTTTTTTATGGAAAAAGTGTCCCGTCATGAACTCAACAAGGGTAAGCTGTTCAACATCCACAGAGTGCTTGGTTCTGTCCTTTTTAAAGGGGCTAGCAGAATTAAAAGGGCTGGCTTTCATTTGAGCATAGTAAATCTTAAGTTTTTGTGGAGTACAGTTGTGAAACAGTGATGCTGAACCAAAATTTACACGATTGAGTGGATCATCGAATGTCAGATGTTTCGTTAATGTAAGAGGAAGGATTTTTTTTTTCATGATCTGCTGTACATATTATTTCAAAGAGAGGGGCAGTCACCACAGTTGAGACAGAAGTTGTTGCTCTTTTGTCTTTATTGTAGGGGTATTTTTTTTTTCTCATTTGGGACTGATCTCACCCTTCGCAATAATATCCTGTCCAAATAGTTTATTTAGTCAAATTTGCATAATTATGCTAGATAAGTTTTCTTTTCTTTTGGAAAATTCTCTTCGCTAAAAAACAAAAATGTTTGTCTTGTATTGAAATTCTGTCAAGAAAAAAATGTTTTCTAAAAAGTACTGCCAAATTTGAGGTAGAAGTAGAAAAGATACCTAAACTAAAATCCCTTTTTTTGAAGAAAGATTTAAAGTTCAGCGTGTTGTGGAGTTTGAATCAATTCCCGTGTAATTCTTTGCGCTAATGAGGAATTTGTGTTCTTAAATAAAGTTCATTAGTCTAAATAATTTTTGCTTCACCGTTTTGCTCATTTATCTCACAGAAATGATGATATAACCTAAAAGTTTGCTGTTGTAAAATTTTCATTTTCCTTACCCATTGCATGTAAATAGATGTTATATATAAAACTGTAGTGTATATAAATGTTATATTTCTTTGAAGATTATCTTACATCATCCAGTACATTCCAAATAGATCTAGTTCTGAAAAAATTTTTACAAGAATTTTTTTTTGCATTTCTTGTTCCCTTGAGTAAGGTTCTTTTGCTTTTGTGGACTTTAGAGAAATAAAACAAGAGACATCATTTTGGCTTAATTGTTTTTGTTGGCATTTGTTCTGTTGTTCTATTTTCTTAACAGAAAGGAGATACATAATCATGAATTGTTAAAGATAAAGTCAAGCCATTCCTTCTGTAGGCCATCAATAGTAACCTCTCTCATTGTATAGGTATAGACCTGCGGTCACAGTGTTTTTTTCTTTTTTTCCTTTTTTTTTTAAGAACCATGGAAATAAAGTCGGAATAAATTTTGTCGGAAAGTGCTCTGAGCTTATTTGGAAAGGATAAATGGTTCCACCTCATCAGTTATCGTGTACAGCAGGATAATTTTCCAGCTAACAGTGGACAGTGCTTTTACATTCCCAAATGTGACACATCATCACACTCCAGAGATGATCATTGTCACAGTGCCGTCTGATTTGACCTTGATCAATTTGATACATTTAATTACTGGAATATATCCACATGATGTAGCAGTATCTCTCAAGGAGCTGTCCATGAGCTGTTGTGGTGTTGTTGCTTCACAAACGGGCCGACTAGTTTTGGGTTAATGTTTGCATCCACCTTATGTGAAATCTGCACTTTTTCATTCGGGAATATGTATCTTCTCAGCCCAGTGTTGAGAAAGGAGTCAGGTGCTCCCCCTTTTAGATCGATCTATTACTGTGTGTAGAAGACAAAGTCATAATTTTTTTCTAATGTACATTTTAAGAGAACCATTTTTTCATCATAATGTATGCCTACTTATATGAGGCTCCTCTCGTTATACCATTTGTTAATTTGTTTAGGCCTGCCAAGTACTTTGATAAAATCTGAGCTTTCCAATTTAAAAAAATAAATTTTGTTTTGTTTTGCACATAGAACCTCGGTCAGATTTATATGAAATCTGATTATTTTTTTCCTTCGTTGCTATAAGTTGTTGATGTGATAGTAGACATTTTTAATTGCATTTATTTGCAGTGCATGTTTATTTGCCATAGTCAGAAAGTTACGTAAATCTTGATCTACTGGAGTTTTGGAGATTTCAGCAATTGTTTCTCCAAAATTCCGATTAATGAGGGAATTCTCAGACAAACTCTTATTTTTGGTCCTGGAGTGGTTGGCAGGTCTAATTGTTTCCCAATTGTACTGTAAGATAGACCACACCTTATTCTTGTCTTCAGCCAGTCTAGGGCAGCTGCAGAGCCTTTGACTCTACGTGTACAGAAAACGAACCCTATAGCCTTATGTACAGAGGAAGTTTTGTTACTGAATTAACATACCAATAAAGGCTGCCAATTTGCACACCTATGGTTTTTATTTTTGCTTTATTTCTTTTCTTTCACTTTTAAAACATTTTATTATTGTATTCTCTTGTCTTTTTGGGATAATACTGCAAGACAGTCATTTGTGTGAGTGACTACTTCCTATTTTCTCTCTTGCTTTTTGTCTATGTTATAATGGCACTTTTCAAGACGTCCATGGGTCAAAAACAACCATTTTTCTCCTTGACAATGGATGGCCGTCTTGAACCATTTTGACAGTGTTTCTTTAACAAACTTTCATTGAAGTCTTTTTTTAATGCAGGTGTTTTTACACCCCCATAGACACAATTTAGATCAATTAGGAGGAGAGTTTTTGACCTTGCCTGTCGAGGCCAGCCTGGCCAGTGAGGGGGATCCTCTTCTCCTCCAGCCAGCTGTATCCCACATGTCTGAGAAAGACCGGGATACTCGATAAAATTTTCTTCCCACTTGGGAATCGAACTCGGTTCTGTGTGCAACAGCAAAGCTCCTAACTGCTACACTATAGACGCCGGTTTATCTAAGTCTGGAAATCTTGTATGTTTTAAACTTTTGTGTTTTATTATGTGTGCAACTACAAATGACGAGATCTGTAAAAGTAAAAGTGGGTCTTCTTAGGGTGCACAATTCAGTCTTGTCAAAGATCTATGAACTCTTCCCTGGTCCAGATGACACCCCATTCTCAAATTCACAACTAAACGAGATCTAAATTGTGTCAATGGTTGCATGAAATATAATTTACAATCTCCTGAAAAGGGAGTAAAAGTTGTTTTTAAAGAAAAAGAAAAGAGTACAAGTAATGTCAAGGACAACAGTGATCATAATCATGATGATTGTCACCTATCATAAAACTTAAAGTGTTTGTCCTGAAGATATTCTCTGTGGCGTCGGTGGCCTAGTTGTTAGGCTCTCGGACTCGCAACTGTAAGGTCCTGAGTTCTAATCCCGTCAGGGACCTGACGTTGTGTCCTTGGGAAAGGCACTTTACTACACAAATTTTCCTCACTTCACCCAGGTGGGAATGGGTACCCGGCTATAGACAGCGAAAGATCTTGTCAGTTTGTT